GCTCACAACCTATTTTTCCCTCAAACCCCTTTCAACATCTATGGAAAATCATTTCCCTGTTAAATTCCAAACATCGTAAATGTGTACGTCATATTAGATTATTTTTTAATGTGTTTAATAAATTAGGCAACAGAAAGTGTAGAAAAATATTGATAAATATCGAAACTTGAATGAAAGTTGCTTTTTTATTTTCTTAAATTAAAACAATTTTTGTTTGAGGTCAATTGAAAGACTGATCGCATTTGGCCTCTTAAACTATGAAGCCCCCATCCGGCTGAGGACCCCTGATATAAAGTCTTAAAATCGCAATTTCATTTTGCTTTGTTTTAACGGAGTGACGTTTAGTGAGCGGAGTGACACGCGCACTATTAGAATGTCGCAACAGACATCTCCTAAGCAGCATATTGGTATTCCGCTCGTTGTTTGCTGAATCTTACCCCATATGTTATTTAAAATCAAAAGTACGATACAGATGTGTACGGGCTATTTTAAATCTTAAGTCATGACTTAGTGGAGATTGTCTTATGCTGCTGAGATAACCTTAATAAAGGATATGTTAAGATTTAATATGGCACGAATACGACCATCACATTCCCATTCTTCGTGTGCCGAAAAGAAGAATTAGAACATTCGTAAGTAATATTTTGGGAATTTCCTCTTGATTTCAAGTATTTACCTTCAGTTCTGTATTGCCATTTTGTAAATTAAAAAAAAAAGTAAAGCTATCGGATGAGTCGTTTTGAAAATTATTGCATATTTTTTACACAGTTGGCTGTTAAGTTATATTTTTCATTACCAGAATGTGAGACTTGAGTATGCATATTAAACCACATCCTTCCCAATGCATCAGATAAAAATGCTTTCAAAATAAAATATATTATTTAAAGAATTTTACGGAGATGACGAAAATAAAATTCTTTAATAAATGAGAAGGCCGCATTTATGTCAGTGCACTGAATGTTATCGGCTCGAGTGATTTACGTGCCTTTTTCTTCTAAAAATATTTTTAAAAAATGTGTGTTAACCCTATACGTTTTCAATATTTTATCAGAAAAAGTAAAACATTTTTATTAAATAGCGTAATTAATTTTAGATATATACTTTATATTTAAAGTATCTGTGCCATGTGTAGCGAAAAGGCTGTATTCAGTGGATAAATTTTCCTTGTTTTCCGGTATCTTCGCCAAAATTTTAACTTTAAAGAAGAAATTGTATTAAAATATAAAAAAGAAAAAACAAGGCCTTAAAATTAAGTTCTGTAGTAAAGACAGTGAACCATATGCTGTAATTTAGTCCCATATTATTGACCTCCCGAGTAAATTATGTATTTTTACAGTTTATTTGCGACGAATTTTTATCTATCCTAAACAGTTTTAATCTTTATAGTCAGTCAGTCGATGATGCATTAGAGCTTTTATTTGTTGCCGATATTATAAAAGCTGACAGAGGAATAAAGTGATTTTATAAAGCTTCATTTTATTTTGATTTCCTAATAATCTTTCACAAGAAGTGATTTTTTGAAAATTGCCAAAATTTTTGTTAAAATTCTTGCGAGGTTTTCTTAAAATAACTAATTTATTTTCATAATTTCTTTTTATCTGTGAAGGCAAGCCCTCATATTTTTCACTCCGAGTTTCAGTTTGATTGTGGCAACGGAAGCTGGCTAAAAAGATCATAAATAGACAAGTTTGGGGGCTGACTAGTTAGGGGAACTATTATTCTTAATTGGGCTGAAAATTGTGAAAATCCTTCAAACTGTGAGAGATAATGAGATAAGATTATTTCCCTTTTTAGAACTGGAGGAAAAAATACCTTAATGACCCAAAAGCTGTATGTTCCAACAGAAAAAAAATCGTTAACTGTCAGCATTTATATTTATAACAATTTATTGCTAACTATGTAACAGAAAATATACATCACGAGGATACTAAATGCATTTTAGATGGTATATGGAAGAATATGAAGTGCCATCCGTTATCGTTAAGTCACAAAAATAAATTTTCAGGTAAATTGTAGGCTCACCAGCGGCCGAGCGGTACAGTCGCTGAACACTGGTAGTTCGGTCCGAGGTTCGAATCCCGCGAACGGGCTGTCTGCATGGGCGCTTTCGTGGTTTTCCCCATGTGTAACGTGTGTACAAGCCAGTTTTTCTTAGAAAGTCCTCCACGAAGGCATCCCTCCTCTTAGGCAGATAGCCCTCGAGGCTTTGCCATAATCACACACACACAGGTAAAATTGTAGAGCTACTAATTTTTTTTTTATTTTAGGTGACGTAATAAATCCTCTATGCCGTCGTCCGGATTCAAATCTATTTAGTTGTAATTTGAGCTTGCTGCAAGTTACACCATGAAATCACGTAAGATGCAAGGCAATAATTCCTTATAAAATTATATCACAAAATGATACTCGAGTACTTAAAAATTTAAATTTCGAAACACTGAAACTGTTTTTACTTCTTTTCATAAATAAAATAAGAATATATGGATTTTTGCAGAAATATTTGTTTTAGATTTTGTTTACAGTATAATTAAATGCTGTAATGTAACTAAGTAGTTTGCTTTCGAAAGCCAAATCTTTTCTTTGTAATGGTATTTCAAAATTAAAATACTGTGAAGTCTAAAAGTGGGTAATACTAGATCAAATAAATGTTTTCACTGGAAACTATTTAGCTAAATTTTCTAAGCATTTTCTTGCTATCACTGTTTACAGCTCTATTACCTTTATCGCAGTTACTAGTTATCATTCATGGAGGTGAATTTTTTCCTTTCTAATTTTATTTTTCATGAATATAACAAACCCATACCTCATTTGTAAATATTTATAAAGCAGAGAGAAAAAATTGAATTTGATGCTGTTATATTATGAAAATCTGAAATTCTCCAATATTTCAGAAAACCATTAAAATTTGATTTAGAGCAATTGTTTGACAAAGTTTTATATGGAGAAGAAAGGAAACTCGTGTTGAGAAAGAAATGCTACAATTATCAGGTAAATTTATATTATTTGACAGACGGAGATATTTGCTGATACCTGACAGAAATTTAAATTGTATTATATTTTGTTTTCTTCGCTCTTTGCAAACTTTTCGAAAGATATAGTCATATGTTTCACAAAAATAGAGTGCAGAAAAAGAGCGTTCGAAGTACGTAGATGCTCATAGATGTTAATGTAATTATGAGAGTTTTAAATAAAATTCAGCGTAGAGCTATGAATTATCCAAACTTTAAAAACATTGTCATTTTCTTTTGGAACACTTCAATAGGATTATTGATTCTACACTAATCTTTCTTGCTTATAAAAAAAGAGTGCGTAAAAATAGTTTTGAAATACAGTTTCCTACTCAAGATTTAATTTGCATATTTTTAACTATTACATAAATCTGAATTTCTGTTTAATGATGTTGCTGTCATTTCGTGTGCCATTAGTGAGATTATTGTGGAGCATAGTTACGCCTCTACAGAATAATTTAAACGGAGCGCTTAGGAAACTTAATAACGATTTAATAAGTCTGTAACTCTCGGTGTTTAAGTCAGTTGATTTTAATTTTTGTGCTTATAAAAGTAAATACTTCCATATTTATAATGAAATCAAGCGATATCTGTATATTGCGCTCATGAAGAAAAGAACTATGCAATATAAGATTACCTTTTCTAATATTCAAACATATAACCTGGAACATTTGAATTTTCCGTATGTGTTTTATCGAGTTCATTCATGGGACCAGGTTTCTTAATGTATGAAAACATAGAATGTAGTACATCTCCTATTGTGATCAATGATTCGGTCAGAGCCCGATTAACACATTTATCTCCACTTAGTATGTGTTCGTCAGGGTTTTCTTCATTTCTTCTCTCTCTCGGGTTTGGTGCTTCTGAACTATGCATTCCATGGTAAACCAGCAATAACGTTTTGATGCCTAAGTACGTGCTTATATTGCGTAATCCCGCCCTTAATTCAGTTACTATGATCAAACTGTTGTGGATAAAATGTTTTAAAGTCGTAAAATAAAAGAGAATTTCGACAAAAAATTTCAAAATAGACTTACAAAATTGCCAAGTGACAGAGAAATATCACCGTGTGAGGGGTTAAATCGCCAGTTAGCTTTCTGTCAACCATTTAAAACTAGGCAGAAAGCAAGCTTATTTTGACGTCCATTTTGAATAACTTCATCACTTATGAGGGCAATCAGATACAAGACTTTCTTCTTAAGGAGAGAAAAAAATAAATTTCCAGAAACGTTATGAACAGTTCATAAACAACGTTTTGCCTTTTCTTATAAAAAATACTTGTTTATACATTTTGATATTAAATTGGCTAAAATTATATTGCTGTTTCCAAAGATATTTTTTCTCATCGTTTAATGTTATTATTCGGTTAATGTTATCTAAATAGCCGTGGACACACGCAATGACTATAAGCAACGTCTACTATAGAGTTATAACGAAGCGCAATTTTTTAATTACTGTTTCGCAATATTTCCTTAATGAGATTCAAATGAAAATAGATTTTTAAAATTGAATTCCAAAAGTAAGTAAAACTGCATTGATATCAGGCTTAAACCTCAGAAATGAGTAAATGTTTATTTTTTTTTTAAACGTAACAACTTAAATTTTAAATAACAGAACAGTCTAAAAATATAGTAATATAGAATGAATGAAAACTAAATATATTCGATTATATGAAAATATATTTCTGTATTCAGATTATAAGTTATTTATATCTACTTCAGATTAGTAGTTTTTTATATCTTCAGTTATTTATCTACTTTTGAGCGCCGAAAATAGTTTGTGGTGATCATCCAGGAAAAATGTGCTATTTGAAGACGATCTGCTCCTCCAAAATGGTTCGGATAACCATGATCGTGATGTATTTGGGTAAAAATATATATATGTGTAATCTTTGCCTTAAAAAATCCATTTCTAGTGTGACCACGAGAGTGCGCTGCTACACTCAAGCAAATCTCCCATTTGCGGATCTCCCGTCAGTCTGTTTCCCGCGAATTCTCCTCATTCGTTTCAGTATCATTTCTCTTTTGAGTTTGGCAGCGGCTCTACATCCTTTACGTTGCTAGTATTGCTGCACAGGTTTCGGTTCGTGTTTCAGCTTGTCACCTGTTTAGTGTATGAGATAAATTTTTACGGTGTGCTTTGGAAGAGTGGGATATATTTTACTGTGAGTACCTGTTTTAAAATTTATTTAAACATACAACTATATCATGATTACAAAATGCAGTTTTATTACAACTTTTGCATTTAAATACGCCGATATTGCTAAGATATATCTTCTAACGCAAATTCTATTTTCGGCTCTTGGTTTTATTTTGTCTATAAATATTTTCTAATCGTTTAAGTAACCACATTTCTGAAGAAAATATAGCTTTATAATTATTTTGAAACTTTAAAGATAGATATTTGAATTCATATCACTGCATATATAAAGCAGTTTCAATTCAAATTACAGATTTGTAGCATCTGTAGCTAAAAGGTTGGGTTATCAAATGATATGCTGTGGCATGAAAATTGTTTTAGTATGTTTTCTTTGTTCTGATTTAAAGACAGAGGAATAGGTTAGTTTAAAGATTTGATCTAAGATAAAGTTTGATTCCTATCATTGAATATATTAAACAATCTCATAGCATCTGTAGCTAGAAGATTATATATATATTTACTGTGGAATGAAAAATATATTCTCATGTTTGTTTGCTTTGTTTTCACTGGTTTTTCGCGTTCAGATTTAAAGACAGAGAAGTTGGCTAATTTGAAGATTTGAAGACGGAGAAATTTTAATTCCTATCATTTCAAATATAAAATAATCTCAATTTAAACTACGCATTGTAGCAAATGCAGGTAAAAGGTTAGATTCTCAAATGATTTACAGTGGAATATTTTTTTCTAACGTATGTTTGTTTTGCTTTTATTAATTTTCCTGTTTCTTTTCAAAATGTGGTGATTTTAAACAAAATATAATTTGCAAATTATATTTTGTTTTAAAATAAAATATAATATATTTTTCATCGTCCTGATACTTATATTAAGGCACATTTTTAAATATGGTAGTAAATGTCTGGATTTTTGTTCTTTTAACTATATATATATTAAAACTTGCATTTGAAACACATTTATAGGCGCTTAATGGCCCAAAGATATATTGCATTTGATTTAAATTTGTTTATCGATAGAATAAAATATTCATAATAGATACATAATATTTTTATATATAATATATTATAAAATATCTCTAGCGTATCGATGGAGAAATAGAAAATATTTAAATGGGTTTGAAAATTTGTAAGGCTCATTGAATAAGAATTATTTTATTAAAATATTTCTTTCAAAATCCTATTCAATTTTCAGCTACGTCTAAATCCTCTTTTAGCATTGAAATATCATTTGCGTTATAGGAAAACAATAACCGTTTACATTTATAATAATAATCGTTTGCGTTTATAAAATAATAATAATGCTTATGTTTAAGTTTATCCGGAGAATTTTCGTCTATAAGAAAATAATGATAAACTTATAAAATTTCATCCGGTAGCAAAAATAAAGAAGGTAAAGTGTGTTCTATTTTTTTCTAATAAAATTTCTATTGTCATATTGAGAGATATTTAGCAGAATACAAAAATCTTTCAGTTGCAACAAGGTATTTCAGTAACAACAAGGTATTAATTTAAGTCTATATTTTTAATTTATGGATACATTACATTGCTTAAAACTTTGCACCAGTTAATGAATGCAACATTTTGAAGCTTTTTCACTCCTAGATTTATGTTTGACTTTATTCGTATTGTCGATTTATTTACCACGTTTTACCTAATTTATTGACAAATATTGCACATTCTAAAGCTAAATTTATTTCCATATATTTTGTGGTAAATTATGATTATATAATGAGTGTACAAAGTATTCGTATAAGTTTTATGCCCCGTTGATAAAAGCTATAAATTCCACAGTAATTAATTATAATGAACATACTTTTATATTTTCATGTGAAATTAACAGGAAAATAAATGCATGCATAAATGAGACATTTACGAAACATAAACAACCCATCATCTTGTGGTCTAAAACGTATTCGTGCGTTATGCATAATGTTGAATATTTTGATAAGTATATTTAAGTTAATACACTATAAGGAATTTCTCCCACTTTCCTAGCGTCCTTCGTGGTGCAGTGGTTCTGCACGCTGGGCCGGTATTCCAGAGGTCCGTGGTTCGATTCCCGGCGAAGGCGGTTGTTAATTTTTCATCTTGCCTGCTTCCAAAAAATCCTAATGTCTCTACAGTTTCTCCCGAACTACAAAAGGGTTGTGGATGATGATTCTCCGCACCCAGGATTTGGCGACTAGGTCCCTTAAAACCCTAGTCGCCCTTTAAAAAGGGGAGCATATAAGGAATTTCTCCCACTTTCCTAGCGTCCTTCGTGGTGCAGTGGTTCTGCACGCTGGGCCGGTATTCCAGAGGTCCGTGGTTCGATTCCCGGCGAAGGCGGTTGTTTATTTTTCATCTTGCCTGCTTCCAAAAAATCCTAATGTCTCTACAGTTTCGCCCGAACTAAAAAAGGGTTGTGGATGATGATTCTCCGCACCCAGGATTTGGCGACTAGGTCCCTTAGAACCCTAGTCGCCCTTTAAAAAGGGGAGCATATAAGGTATTTCTCCCACTTTCCTAGCGTCCTTCGTGGTGTAGTGGTTCTGCACGCTGGGCCGGTATTCTAGAAGTCCGTAGTTCGATTCCCGGCGAAGGCAGTTGTTAATTTTTCATCTTGCCTGCTTCCAAAAAATCCTAATGTCTCTACAACCTTATAGGATATCCTTTAGCGTGAGTAACGGCTTCGAGTCTGCTTGGCATTGATTCAATCAAATTTGCTGTTACTCAGCTAGATATGGACTCCATTCTTGTTTAAGAGCAGTTATTATGTCATTTTCTTTAGAAATGTGCCTGGATCTAACATTTCAAGAGTTTCCCATAAATTCTCAATGGGATTGAAGTCGGGTGACTGAGGAAGATATTACATAAACTTTGGGCTGTTACATACTATCCAGAGCCATGAAGTTAAGGATGTGTGCTTGGGTTCATTATCATACTTGAAAATATATTTACTATCCAAACCCATTTTTGTCGCACTAGACCTTAAATTACTTTTCGAAAAATAACTGTGCAGCAGATGGTTCATAATGCCATTATGATGACTAAATTACTGACCCGGAAGCATTCATACATGCAACTCCAAACCAATACTACTCCACCTCCATGTTTCACTGTTGATCGTAAATTCCTTGGATGCAATTCTGTATTTCGTTTCTACCATAACATTCGCTTTCAGTCCACTCCAAAAATACTAAATTTACTTTCATGTGAAAAAATAATGTTCTTACAGAAGTACAGAAATCTAGGGGTCTGCTGGTTCAGAACATGTCGCGATTTACAAATGAATGAAACTGTAAAACGGCGTTGATTTCAGCACTGCTGTTACACCAATTTGTCGTGAATCATTGGATTTTTAGTGAAGTCTTGAGTAACATCGCTTCAAGGATAAAATGGTTTACTTTTGTTTTAGAATGGAATTCTTCCTGGTGATGGAGAAGAAAGACAGGTTCAAGTTTTATGTTTGGCATAATAGACCTGTGAGATATAATTTGCACCTGCTAAAATGTTTTGCTCAGTTTTCTGTACATTCTTGGGTAAAAGTATAGCTTAGGGTACCCCTTGGCGAAACTCGGCGATTTTTGGCGGTACATGGATACCGATTTTTGAATTTCTTTGACTCGTTATTTTGGTTTGCGAAGCGGCGATTTTTGCGCCAAAAATCGCCGCTACACAAAGCCAAAATAACAAGACAAACAACTGCACAAACTCTGTATCCATGTACATATCTTATTTTCACTTAAAATAAATCCCCGAAATGCACAAAAATGCCATTGCGCACTCCTTTGATTCTATCCATGTACACGTCGACCTATTTTCACTTAAAAAAAATCACCGAATTTCACAAAAATGGCATTGCGCACTTCTTTGACTTTTTTCATGTACACGTCGACCCATTTTCACTTAAAAAAATTCCAGAATTGCACAAAAATTGCATTGCGTACTCTTTTTAACTTTATCCATGTACACGTCGACCTATTTTCACTTAAAAAAATCCCAGAATAGCACAAACTTGCATTGCGTACTCGCTTTACATTGTCCACGTACACATCGAAATATTTTCACTTAAAATGATATACCAATCTACCAAAAGTCAAAGGAGCACCAAATTCTACAATATAGACAAACAAAAAATACATAATTTCAATAAAGTACATTTTAAACCAAACAATAAAATAACATAAAAAAGGAAAAAATGTTATACATTTAAGCACTACCAAAAGCAAATATTCACTTACCGTGATTTTCGAGTTCGCTTCATTCACCCAGAGCCACGTAGAAATCAAAATATCAATCATACTCAAATGACTTTTTTCAAAACAGGTACTCTTTCTGATCGAACGCTTCACATAATGACCATCTGAACCTTTCTTCCTACAAATCTATCCAAACGGTTTTTTACGTTCGACTAGACGCATATCCTTCCTACATACAGGACACTTATAATGGCTACTAAGTAAACCTTCATTTACACACCAGTCAATTAAAGCTCTTTTCCCCTTTCGCTCCAAATCGTACAGACACTTCAAATTAATCTTACTACACTGTAAAAATAAAACCAACACACATCACAAAAACGCTTACAAAGCATCCCATGATTCAAAATTTCCCAGAATCATGCACCCGATTACGTCACAATAGGGTTTTCATAACATTCAAGTACTCAGGCTACCACAACAACTTAGCGATAATACAAGGGGTACCTTAAAGTCTACTCTACCCCATTCTTGCTTTAACAACCACAAATAACAAAATCAAAATACTTATTATGGGCAATTCGCTGCCACTTTTTTTTTGTTTCTTCCTACTTCTATCCTGCAAATCAATGAGTGTTGTATGGATTATTCTCTCTGATGCGTATTACTTCAATTACTGAAACTGTCGCTTAATATGCTAAATTGCATATTCATGATAACGGGACAATTGATTAAAAAAAAGAATATTAAGTTTCTTTTAAGCTTGAAAGGGAGGGGGAAAATATTTATTAAGAGCAAACTATTAAATTTTTATTATCAATTTTACCTCA